TTGTGTGGAAAACTTTTATATTTGATGAGATATCTTCACGGAATTTGRCACAAATTATTGCYTTAAATARTGCTAYAATTTTTGAAAAAACTGKTCAGATCGGATAACTATAGCTTGTAGCTGCCATACAAAGTGAAAGATARAAATTAAGTTTWTGTRTGGAAAACTTKTWTATTTGATGAGATATCTTCACGGAATTTGGCACAAAYTATGTCCTTAAATAGTGCTATAATTTTTGGAAAAAACTGGWCAGATCGGATAACTATAGCTTGTAGCTGCCATACAAAGTGAAAGATAAAAATTAAGTTTTTGTATGAAAAACTTTTTTATTTGAGAAGCTATYTTCACAAAATTTTGCATGCAATTTTACTTAAGTTATTGCTATAATATATGTATATTATTTTATAAATCGGAAGATTAAAACATATAGCTGCCATACAAACTGATCGATAAAAAGGAAGTCTCGGTATAAAAAACTTTTTTATTTGAGCTGATATTTTCACAAAATTTTGCGTAGCGTATTGTTCAAAATAACGCTACAACTTCCGAATATATTGTTTAGATTGGACCACTATAGTGTATAGCTGCCATACAAACTGACCGACAAAAGTCAAGACAATAACCAAAAAATTCGCATTCTCAGCCATTAACGTGCTTACTTACGTATACGTATGTTGTTATTTGACACATTTTTTTTATTTCATTTTATTTTTTTTTTTTTTTATAAGCATTTTTTTCTGCGTTCAATTGACAAGAGCATGGGGCCACAAGCAGTGATTGCAGTCAGTCTGTTGTTGTCCGTCACTCATGGTGGCTCCATTCAGTTTATCTTCAATGAGCATTCAGACATAATTACATACACAAACAGAATGGACAGGCATAAGTGTGTGTGTGATGATGCGCTCGTGTGGCTTGCTTTGCATGCGAGCGTATAATTTCCCTCCCAAAAAGAAACAGCAACAACAGCGCAAACAATCGGCGCAAATATCGATATACGCCTTTGTGGTATGTGTGGGCCACAAGCATGCTAACAGCTAAATTCGTTGTTATTGCAGTTGGGTTGATCATCGTCTGACAACGACAATGACGCTGACGATCAGTTGGAGTGGCAGCAAACGTAAAATTTAAGTGCATTTGTTGTTTTTGTTGTTGGTGAGTCGTTTAAMTCGCACGAATAATGTTGCCCAAAATACATGCAAACTCTACATAGTTGTTGTTGTGATGTTGTTTAGTTTTTGTTGTTGCCGTAACATATGCGAACAACTGTATGAACATATTTATTTGTATAGCGCCTACTGAACGATGTTAAAGCACATACACACACACACACACACACACACGTGCACGCAAATAAATTTAGAGTATCCGTAAAGGCGGCAAAAACCGCAACGACCGACTGACAATCCCACCGCTGGCTTACACTGCCTACGGAAGCAWTGCCCCAGCGACCAGTCAGTAAGTGAGTGAGTGTGCAGCTAGCGGGCAGCAGYCGGCGCTGGCGACATGACACTGGCCACCCATGTTGTGCCGGGCGCATGGGGCTGCCACACAGTTGCTTAAAAACGAACATGCAAATGTAAAAAAATTTTTCTTTTTGTGTGTGTGACTGTAGACGGCTAAAGATTTGTTTGGTTGCCAATACTGACTAACTGGATGGCTGACTGACTGACT